AGTGGCCAACTGAATTAGGAGACAAGCTATGATATTTATTATTAAATATTTATAAACATAAGGAGCACATTCAAGTTGGGTATCACTATATCAGGCACTGTATAAAAATATCATAAATGCTTCATGTTTATATTTTTCAGTTATACAGACATTGCAATTTGACTGCTACTACCTTTCTTCTTGCCATCAGGCAATTTCAGAATTAGATTCAGTTGCTACCCACAGGAGATGGCCATCCTTTGGCAAAATGATTAAAAACACACTATGTAGTATTAATAGGTGTGTAGTTACTCCCTCCTTAACCACCAGTACCCTGTTAACTCTCTCCTAAAATGTGTAAATGTACAACCAACCCTTCCAGAAGCTTTATTGATAGGACACACCACAAAAAAAAATTTGATATATTAAAGAATTTCCATGTATTCAGAGGCCAAATAAGAGAAAGGACTGGAGTGAAGAACTGGGACAAAAACTACTCTTTGAGTCCTTGAGGTGAGTCCAAAATACTGTGCTATTTTTTCCAGAATAAGAGAGAAAAATTCTGTAATGAGAAAAAGCAATGGTAACACAGCAGTCAATTATTTAAGGCTATTCAGACTAAGTTGATACCACTTGTACTACAATATCACACATATTTAACTAATTCTGAACATTAGTAAAATTCTTCTCTTAAAATAGAGTACCATATCTTATAGTGCTTCTCTGCCAGTAAAGCCTTCTCCCTGAGGCTGTGTACCTCCTCAATTTGCTGACCAACTCATTCTTCTTTCAGCACTACCCTACAACTTTTTAAGTGCCTGTACACAGGTCCCCACCAAACTGCTCTTCAAAACGTATCCCCATCCCTTTTCTGAAACTCATCATCAGACTAGCTTTATGTGGCATAATATTTACTCTTCTCTACCAAAGTTTATTATTTCCAGAACTGTGTCCATACTACTAGACTGCAATCTGAGGAGATGTCAAGGGAGCAGATAGGAATGAGGTGTGTGTTGCACACTCGAATGCAACTATAGGGAGGTTGTAAGGCAGTATGTAGTAAAGGCACAGAGAAAGGACTTTCAATTATTGAATTGCTTAGTTTCCCTACTAAGGAAGCTGACAGCTGTTTGATAACGTGATAGTGAACTGCTTTCACAGTGGTGTGCACGCATAGATGCCTCATTTTATGATTTTACCTCCAAAAGTTATCAGTGTCATTTTAGTCAACTGTGACCTCCTTATACATTGATTGAAACAGTTTGTTAGGTGGTAAAAAGGCAATTTTATCACCTGATGGTGACAACATAGTTACCACCATAGGTGACAGCTGATTTCCTTATCCCTAACCATGATCCCATCGGAATTAATTACAGATTTCAAGTCCAACTTCTCTCTAAACTTAGAGTAAATAAATAAATACAAATCAGATCACTAATAATAAATTGGGCATTTTTGTTCAGAAGCATTTTGAAAGCTTTCATAACACAATTTTGAAAATATCCTCAAATTGTTTTGAAAACTATATTAATTATATCTGTCCAGTAACAAACCAGACAAAAAAGGTTTATAGCTAATAGAGGAGCTCATTACTTTAGAAACAAGCTTTAATAGATGAAATCTACTGTATCCGCTCAATTAAGGTTACTTGAGAAAGGGAGGAAAGATATGTAATCTTGCTAAAAATTACTTATGAAATGCACAGAGTTTAATTTCATAACAAAACTAGAGATTAAATCTTATAATTGCCTATTTCTGACATCTACCAGATTGCACCTTCCCCATGGTTGCTATATACCCCTGCAACAATTTCTATCCATACAACATAAAAGTTTTATTAGGAAACTTTCACCTTTGCTGTGGACACGGGGGCCCAAATCTTGATGTTGACAGCCTTCAGGCTATCCTAGAAACGATTTTGTATTTTAGGAAGTGATAATGTCCATGATGAGCCTTGAGCTGCCAACTCAGCCTGACTACTGTACCACCCTGGATGGATGGACTGATCTGTGTAATGGTTTTGGCTGGGATAGAGTTAATTTTCTTCATGGTAGTTCCTATGGCATTATGTTTTGGGTTTGTGATAAAAACAGTGTTGATAACATAGGGATGTTTTGGTTATTACTGAGCAGTGCTTACACAGCGTCAAGACCTTTTCTGCTTCTCACCCTGCCCCACCAGTGAGTAGGCTGGGGGTGCACAAGAAGCTGGGAGGGGACACAGCTGGGACAGCTGACCCCAACTGACCAAAGGGGTATCCCATACCATATGACGTCATGCTCAGCCTATAAAGCTGAGGGAAGAGGAAGGAAGAGGAGGACGTTTGGAGTGATGGCATTTTGTCTTCCCAAGTAACTGTTATGCGTGATGGAGCCCTGCTTTCCTGGGGATGGCTGCACACCTGCCTGTTACTTGTACTACTGTTGGTTATTCTGTGCAAGCCCCAATTCTAAATATGTTGTGGATATTGTTCTTAAGGACAGTCCACCAGGGCCTTGCTGGTTAGGATTCTAACTTTTTAATTCACACATCTCGGGCACTGGCGAATGTTAGAAAGGGAATTGATTGTTGGATTTGTACACAACATCCTGCATCTGGGCACCAAGGGGTTCCTGTGGTGGGAATGCTGGTATTGGTGGAATTGTGGGGCCATGCACCAAAAACTTTTGTCAGATATTACTCCATTCAGTCTAATCTCTCAACCACCAACTATCCACTGCCACCTTGGTAAAGAACGGATCAGTTCTATGTCCTCCAGAACTTATGGGCTATGATCCATCCCGTCATCAACTACAAACCATGCAGCAGGGACCATCCTACACCATGCAAACATACTGTGCCAATATCAACAAATGCCTGAAAGACACCACTCACTGCCGTGACCTTAGCACAATAGGTGCCCCCAGCCTATACTGGCTGTGCGGCAACAGTGCCATGAGAACCTTCCCATAGAGGTGAGAGGGGACCTGCACACCCAGATGTATACTGCCTGGGATGCATGTTGAAGAAAGACTCTTCACAATCCATGTCCACAATTACCCTAATGTCCTGCGACATCGGTGTGGTATTAACCCTTTGGTAAAATGAGGATCTGGATTTCACCAGATTGCATGGATTCTCCTTCCTTGGCTAGGGGTCTCTGAGCTGGAGAAAACGACCGTCAATCTCTTTGCTACCCTGGAAAATATAGAAAACGTAACAACCGATGCCATCCAAGCACCGCAGCAAGAAATCACTCAAGTATCACAGACTACTGTTCAGAACTGTCTAGCCTTAGACTACTTGCTGGCCGCACAAGGTGGCGTTTGCGTGTTAGTAAATACCTGCTGTGTCTATATCAAGCAAGATCAACCCTGCAGGTGTCAGAACACCAACCTCACCTAGCTTATTATATAGCTAATGACCCGCAAAAATAACACCCTAGCCTATAACTCCACATCAAGTGATGATTTGAGAGAATCAAGGGGTGGAAGTGACACCCTGCCCTTGACCAGTATCGGCAGCATAGACAGACTGCCAACATCCTGCCTCCTGACCGACATCAGCAGCATAGGCAGGATGCCACCCACGTTATTCACGTAAGGTATGATTCTCTCAAATCACACTGCCGTTGGTGGAGCTAAGAGGCAGTGCAACTCTTACCCGCATTCAAAAGGCATTTCCACAATTAGCTGTTGCTGTCAGATGACCCGGACACCAAGTGTCCCTGGCAGTCCACCAGAGCCAGGGCATCGCTTATGATCCTGTGTTTGCTGTCAGTGATTAGGTGAGTCACTGTATGGGTGCATTGTTGCTCATCTTTCCTACTGCCTCAATAAAGATTTCTTTTATAATGTCTTGTCAGACTCCATTACTGTTCAGACCACAAAGCCCAATATGCTATTGTCATTTAATTCAGTTGCTTAATGCAACTGTGCAAGTCTGCTAGTCCGATTTTAGAAGACTTATACAAACCAAACTAGGAAACATTTTACTATGAAAGCAAAAGTCACTTCCTCCAAAAAATCAAATCTGTGTTTTACCACAAGTAAGTGTGCTGACAGAATTAAGTGAAAAAGTTAGGAAAATAAACTGATAATTTAATTCTCCAAAATCTTTAGTGATTTTTAAAAGCAGCAATCAAGGGCATAAATCAAACAAAATTGAAGCTGGACTGGCTAACATGCCAAAAGACTAGACAACTTTAATTATACACACTACTGTCAGCTTCACTTATAATACCAGATTTTCCCCCAAAAGCTGGAACTGTGAAATAATTTATTTTCTACAGTGGGAAAATCTCTATCCCTTAATAATTCAAAAGTTGCCCTGAACTTTCACAGTAGTTATTTTGGGCAAAGACAAACAATAAAATATTCAGGTGCAACATACAATTTATAGATAATTTACAAGTATGAGAAAGAGTTGAGCTTGTAAATTATTTTCCACTGTGAGTGCAGTTTTTGTTAATGACAATTACTATTATGGACTTTGCCATTTACGGGAAACATTATCTTGTACTTCTTAATATAGAATCCAATACTTAAACACTAAAAACATGCAAGGCTTCTCTAATGAAGTCTGACAGAAACTGTATTCACCTTTTTTTCTTATCTCAAAAGATAAGCAAACCACGAAGCTGCTTATCAGAGATTCATATTTAGAAAGACATGCAAAACTGTTATAATTATTTGCTAAAACCAATGCTCAGCCTTTATAATACATTGCACTTTGACCTTTTTATTGAAATTGCTAGTTAAACTTTTAACTGATATATAATTATTGATTAAAATTCAACAGTAGCATAAAGAATATTCCAAGTTTTCCACCCTCATTTCATTGCTAACAGAGCAAGTAACATGCTACCAAATTTTATTCCCAAGGCAGCTACAGCCTATGAATATTGACTAATTTATGAACCATGACATCACTTGCTGATACAAATAATGCTGCCCACCAATATAGTTGTTTAAGTAGATTTGCTTTTTTAAAAAGATAGACACATATTCTAATCAAAAGAAGGCAAGAAATTGCTCACTAACCTCTGCTTCAGCTGCTTGTGATTGCAGGAGCTGTCGTATACAAAGAATGTCCTTCTCTATTTGTTGAATCCTCATCACCCTTACCTGAAATGAATGTATTTTCATGTTTGATTTAAATAAAAAAATATCCTTATTCTTACTGTACAGATTGACAATGAGAAGAGTTCATTGCAAATACAGCTGACTGCAAAACAACTACTTTGTTCATGTGGTAATTCCACAAATGTTCTTGACAATAAAAAAACAAGCATGATTGCAAACATTCAAAATATAATGGGTAGTTGGGTTTTTAATAAAACTGACACTAATTTGGATATAATATTAGATTGTCACACAGTACAAGCCCAGGTATAGAAAAACATTTCAGTAAACTTGCACAATTTTCCTATTTCTGAAACTGACATTCTATGCAGGTTTTTAGCAAATTATTTCATTTTCATCTCAAATGTTAGACTTCTGCTTGCCTTACAGAGATTTGAGAGAGATTTATATTTGCAGAGTGTTTTGAAGGTATTAAATCCTGAATGTCTTCGATTATTTTCAGTTACTATGATGATTTGGGAAATTTGCCTATGCACAGCCTCTGAGTGTTTTCTGTTCCTACAAATTCCAAAGAATTTACAGGGTTAGTAAAACGAAAACTACATACTGCTTCTTTGGTTTGTCTGGGATTTTACAGATATTTCTGATGCGAGTCTTTTATAGCTATATCGATACTTCCCACTGCAATCATTCTGTGGTTAGTAAATGGAATGTTGAAAAACTGAACTTTACAGGATACATATACTCCATGTAAGTTATACTGTGGAGCACAGGATGCATTATGAATCTGTGAAACAATAAGTGAATGCAATAAGTGATTTATCCCTCTATCAGTTTGCTAATAAATTGACATTATTTGACTTTAAAAGTGGGCAGAAAATAATTAGCCCAATAATATCAGGACAGAAACTGAACTGATTAAATAGGATTTTTTTTTTTTTGCATGATGGATAGCTTAAAAAAATAATGGACAGTTTAAAAAATTAATGGACAGTTTAAAAAAAAAATCCTGATCATTTTACTTGAATAACATTTACAGTGCTATACTAAAAGAGGAAAGGCTTTGTGAATCTAGTGGACACTGCAAGGATCAGCATTATAACCAGCCTTATTTAACATTTTTATAATCTGAAAATGGAAATAAGATAAACTTTAAAAAAAAGCTGCAAGTGCCAAAGAATACACTCGTAAATTGTAATAGAAACACAATATAATCTAGAAATTTTAGAAACACAGAAAAAATATAATCACAAAGAACAGAATGAATTTTTAAAACATGCAGGATAATAAGCTGTGGGAAAAGCATCCTAAACACCAACACTTAGGGGAGTTACAAATAGTAAACTATAAATTAGATATTTATTTGTAAAGCAAAGTATCAGAAACAAAGGCCAATAAAATTTGAAAGCTACACACACAGAAGCCTCAGCACAACATGAGGCAGACAGATAATTCATTCCCCTTCTCTCTTAGATCAGGAAATTCTTAAGTATCAGAAAGATAATAAAAATATATTACTGGGAATAACTATACATTGGTGAGGTGATGCACAACTGACATAACACCTCTCCTTTTTGTCTTTAAGAATTACTTAAATTTTCCCCAAACTGAGTTTCTTTCTGTTTAACCAGAAATTTATTTCATAAAGGGCATTGAGAGAAACTGAGTATATGCATATATACAAATAAAAGCAGGGATTTTATTTTTTTTGCAGAAGAAAAACAAGTAAAGATTACATGATTTGTCCAGTATCAATGATGAAGTTCTCAAAAGGACAACAATTCAGTCCATATCTCCCAAATTTTAGTCCAGAGATTTAAACATCAGAACGTTCTTCTCTCTGCTTATTCATTATTTGTATTACAGGGGACTTGAGGAGATCCATCAACCATTTTGCACTGAACACTGTACAAGCAGAAAAAAGAACGTATTTCCTGCCCTAAAGGGTTTACAGTTCAAAGACAAACATACAACAGTAGAGGTATACAGTCAAAGAAGTACCAGGAATCAATACCAGTAAGTTTGATGAACAGCAATCAAAACTCTAAGAACCTAATTTAATTTGTTCAATAATGAATCTGAAATGAGCCTAAAGTCAGTAAATCACTGAATGAAGACAAATTATACTTTTTGCTATGTAAACACAAAATAATAAAGCATAGCAGTAGGAATAAAGCTGAGCTTTTAATAAGGGGAAGGCAAAAAACATCAAGAAAATGTCCACATCGCTGGGTATCTTACAAGAGACCTCAGATTTGCATGGCCAGGAGGTTGAGGGAGGTGATTCTGCCCCTCTACTCTGCTCTGGTGAGACCCTACCTGGAGTACTGCATCCAGCTCTGGGGTCCTCAGTACAGGAAGGACATGGACCTGTTGGAGCAGGTCCAGAGGAGGGCCACAAAAATGATCAGAGGGATGGAACACCTCTCCTATGAGGAAAGGCTGAAAGAGCTGGGGTTGTTCAGCCTGGAGAAGAGAAGGCT